TTTAACATTCTTGATATAATAAAATGGATGACAATAATTAGGAGGTACACGTGAACTTTTATGATCATAGACTCTTAATTAAACGACAAAGAAAGTTAAATTATTTGAAATTCATTTGCTTTCAATTTTAATGTAAACAGAATATATCACTTCATATATAGGAGTGGTGGTCACCATAAGTAACCTCTTAAAGAAACGTAAAACTTGTCTTTGTGACTTTGTAGATTTGTCAAAATGGCTGAGCTGTAAGCAGAGATTATAGTGATATGACAAGGAAATTTATCCAATGATCTTAGTTTTCAATTTTGGATGACGGAGTGTTAAATTGTTAATGTTTAACTACCTACTCTAATAATTAATTTGACGATCACTTTCATTAAGAATTTTGAAAATTTTGTTTATATGAAATATATATGCATACACAAACTCACATACATGTATCTAAATTAAAATACAAAAATGATCTCATTCTCAATCAAACGTAAACAAAAAAATTTTTACACTAAGAATGTGACCATCAAATATAATTGTTATTTTTTTATTTAGAAAAATTCTTTTTGAAGTGCAACATTTCATGGACTAAAAAAACAATGCAAAACACAAATAACTAATAAACAATACGTAATAAAATGACTTCATATGAGATCCATATGAACATATCAATTTTTACTTTAATTTCTCATTATTTTGTCCGGCCTATATAGACGGCATGAGTAGCATTGCTCCATTTTAAATGTGGAACATCATATTGATATACATAATTAATTAATTAATTAATTGGAGTCCTGCAATGTATTGGTATAAATACAGTCAACTTTTAACCGCCGTAACTAAGGCTAAAGTAGTGCCCTTAGGGCTGGAGGAATATTTCAGTCAAAAAAACGTTTGCAAAATTCTTGGAGTTCGTATTTTAGGGCTTAGGTTTGATTTAAATTTTGTTTAACAACCACATATTAAGAAAAATTATTTTTAAAATGAAACATTTCATGGACTTAAAAAATAGTGTAAAACACAAATAACCAATAGATAACATAAAATGACATCATATGGGATCTACATAATTATATCAATTTGGACTTTAATTTTTCATTATTTTGGGCCAATATTGACGGCAATTATTGGAGTCCTACAATGTGTTGGTTTTAAAAACTGATTGACACTTCTCCATAGTTAATTGATTGTATCAGTCACTGCTTGATGTAATCTTACACCATTAATGGGCGAACTAGAATTAATGACGGATTATGACAACGGTTTCTTTAAGCAAAATAAATGCTAGCGATCGATTAGATATATCAATCTATTTCATCCCAAAACATGCACATGTGCATCCTAGGTACATCAAATTCAAATCATTAAGTTCCAAGAACATAATTGCTTAGAATTGACTTACATGTAAATGTAAAATTAATCCAGTTTATTGATATAATCTGCAAAGGGTAATTCAGAGGAATAAATATTCGGTGTACTGGGTGCACCCTATACCTTTTTGTTTGTACGCATATGGCTTATATCGTTTCATCCGAGGTGTAGTGCACCCAATACCTTTTTCATTTTATATGTATTACTTAGATAAACTTGATAGATAAACTCGAAGCACAGTGTGTCAGACGCATCCAATACCTTCTCCATTGGGAGGGAATATTTGAATCTTTAATAATTCATAATTGCTGTCATGAAAATCTATGCTCTGAACTTTTCAAAAGTAGTGAATTACCCGTGTCGAATACGTATCTCTCGGACATGGGTATGAGATGTATGTTTGATACTTTTGGTCGAACATGTACTTAAAAAGTATATTCAATCATTCAGTTATATTATATTATTATTTTAAAATGAGTTAAATGTCTATATTAAATATTATATTAGATAAAAATATTATTTTATTTTAAAAAATAAAATAAAATAAATATTTAATTGTGTCTGTATATCTTTTTATTTAGAATCTGACGCATGGGTACATACTCATACTCATACTCATACGAGTCCATCTAACATAGGTTGGATGGCTGTGTTGTGTATAGCTTTTGGCTTCTGTTGCATATATGCTTTGTGAGTTGTAATACGTTGGCGGATAGTAATAGTAGTATTAAATTGCATTTAATTTACCTTTTGCTGACGGTATTTTAAATGCTGTGCATATATGCCCTCTTCTCTGTTTGCTTCTTTTTTGGTATTTCTCTAGTGGCGTGCAAGTATTGTGCTGTTTTTTCAGTGTGTCTTATTCTTTCCTTTTCCCAGTATTTATATATTACATAGAGAGACCTGGAGAGAGAGATCATTTAAATAAAATAAATCCTACTTTTTGTGGAAAAAATGCCAACCATTGAATTGATACCCTCTAGTTGCTTTATAGTTATATTTGTGATTTTGAGTCCATAATATCCATAATTATCATGTATCTTAGATTCTTAATTAATATATTAAATGTAAATATATAGTCCAAGAGAATCTGTGAGACTGACCGGTGGTGACCATTGAGTTGCTTAATGTTGTGATTTTTCCAATATTTTAGGTGTTTTATGTGTATATATATTTGTGATTTTTTTTGTTTGTTTGTTTGTTTTATTTTCATGATTTTGAGTCCATATAATATTCTTTGGAAATGTGGAAGCTTATATATCAAATACATATATACTCTTTACAGTTTGTCATTAGCAGTCACCGAAAGAGATTGGGACCAGCCTATTACCCAAAGCGGAATTAATATTTCCCAAGTTAAAACAGATTATTAACTGATGATTCTCGTTATAAAAAAATAAAAAATAAAAACAAAAAATAAGAAAATAAGAAAAATATGATAGAACAAATTCTAATTTCCCTCTCATTAAAATGTATTATAATTTAAGATTCTTTTCCACGTGGCAAAAGATTAAAGGTCCACTTGATCAAGTCTAGAGTACCTCTCCATAATTGCCCGAGAAGGCTCTACACCGAGTTCATATTCCACAACACTGCCATGCCAAAATTACACAACTAAAGCCAAGCCCATGCAGGTTTTTCAGAGAGAGAAACAACGCAAAAGCAATTTTTGGTAAGTATCGCAAATTGACAATGCATTGATGCGCTATATGGGCTCCGCTAAAAATAACTTTCTTCTGTGCCCTTTATCTGAGCTAAATTGTTAAAGTTGAACCCTCGGACCCAATTACAAAAATGCGGCCCCACCGATTCATTAATTATTGGATTAATTACACCGACACTTGTCAATGTCATTTAGAGACTTGTAAACACAAAGTACAACCCCATCGTCTCTCGAGGTTTTAAAATTTTGTATTGACACCCATTTTAAATCTCTAACCTACAATGGTAGGAGGTGATTGTGGATAGATGTTGCAGTAGTGAGTGGAGAGAGAAAGAAAGAAAGGGACGACAATGGTTAAGGTAGCTAGGGTGGTTGGTGGTGGCGTCGATGGCGACACCCCCTCTCTAGAAAGATCTCTCTCTCATCTCTCTCTATGATGTTACAGAAAAAATCATTTGTGCTGTTAATTATGTAGAGGGTTGTTTTCGTAATTCACATTGCTGATATTTGGTGAATAATATTGAATTAATAATTCAAGGACATTCATGTCGTTTGAAACCTTAGAGCGTTATTGTCCAAAATTGCGTTGACTAGCCGCTGAGTGGAATTGACCTAGACTTTAAAGGTAGTCAGTACAATTAACCCATAATTATTTGTAGGGTAAATTATACTAACTTTTCTTAAAGTTTGAATAATTTATACATAAATGTATCGTTTTGTGTTTATTATTTTGATCACCCTTGAAATTTATCACATGTTTCACCTTTAGCGTTTTCTTTAGGATAAATTTATTGAACAATTATTATAAAATAACAATTTCAGCTTCTTTGATTTAAAATGCAATTCAATATAAGGACATTATTGATTTTTTACTTTTAAAATCACTGTAAACCAATGAATTTAAAAGATCAAAATAATGAACACGAAACTATTTATCCATCAATAATTTGTCAAAACCAAGGTAAGGTAGGTATAATTCATCATTTTGTACGGTAACTTGTCTACTAAAACCATCAGAGATACAATTATCAGTGCTATATAAACCTCATGCAAAATCAATCTAATCATATGATAGCAACGTGAAACGAATTAATTGTTTTTCAAATCAAAAAAATCCATTGCAATTCAAACAAAGAAAAACAGCTTCCGCTGCCTTGACATACATTATCCCTTGTATGTATCTAATGAACTGTCATGCACACACAAAAAAACCTTTCGCCATCCAAACGCAGAAGAATCAAGGGAGAGAGAGAGAGAGAAAGGCAATTTGGATACCATTCACGAGTCTCTTTTTCTGCTCAAAACACCTTTCCTGCACGTGTTCTGAAGCCTGAGAAAATTCACCCTAGATTGAAAATTCACCCTAGCCTAAATATTACTCTAGCTGTTTTAATACACACAGTCACACACACATATACACACACACACGAGAGCATCACGCTAAGAAGTCAAGGGTCAAACTTTAAAGTTGAATGTAGTAAATATCCACAGTGAAGAAGATATATGTACATCGGTAAGACCACACATAACAGTAACCTGTAAAGTCACGTACTAGAAGCTCTTTTACACCACAAATCTTGCTGTTGAACATGTGCCACTATTGAGCCGTACAAGTAATATCAAGTATTGTAAATTCCGTACCAGCTCCAATTTAATGCAGTATAACATCTGCTATTCCTTCTAGTATAAATTTAAAACGGTGCGTATGTGACCATGGTTCAAATAAATGTGTAAACTTGTGAAGTACCGTCTCAATATCGTTATTAATTGTGAAAAAATCATGTTATGCATGCACAAACAGTTTAAAGCAGAATTTTATGGATAAAGGTTCCGAACAATTGCATATATAATCGTGTGAGCATATATAATCGTGTGAGAGACATGTCAGAAATTAATTGATGCAATGTTTAAATCATTGATTTATTTATTTTATTATTAATATATATATTTTTAATATTTCTACCAAAGAAAAAACAAAAAACACTTGCCATATGTATCCTTTGTAATCCCTCCTTTGCTATAATATTTAAATAAATTCTACGCGTTTGCTTGCGTGTAGAAGTATGACTCCTTCCATCAAAACCTTATAAATCTTTGAACTCCCACGATCACATTCTCAAATCATACACATTAAACACACAGAAACCCAAAAAAGAAAAACAAAATTCATGACCATGACCAGAAACGTGCTTCTTTCTTTCCTCCTCCGGCAGCTACTGTTTATAGCAGCCGGACAATGGTGCCTGAATCTGACACAAGCCGCCGGAGGCCGGTGGAACCTTCTAAGTCACAACATTGGCATAACAGCCATGCACATGCAACTCCTCCACAACGACCGAGTTGTCATCTTCGACCGAACCGACTTCGGCCACTCCAACATCTCACTGCCAAACGGCAAATGCCGCAAAGACCCCAAGGACCTGGCTTTAACCACAGACTGCACGGCCCACTCAGTCGAGTACAACGTCGCCACCAACACTATACGTCCCCTCATGGTCCTCACCGACGTCTGGTGCTCCTCAGGTGCTGTCGTGTCTGACGGCCGTCTGATCCAAACCGGTGGGTTCAATGATGGAGAATATGTGGTCAGAATTTTTCAGCCATGTAGTTACTGTGATTGGCAGGAACTTAACTCTAAGTTAACTAAGAGAAGGTGGTACGCCACCAATCACATATTGCCGGACGGCCGGCAAATCATCATCGGCGGTCGGCAACAGTTCAACTATGAGTTTTACCCAAAAACTGCTTCGTCTTCGGAAGCTTATAATTTACCCTTTTTAGCTCAGACCAGTGACCGAAGGATAGAGAACAACCTATATCCATTTGTTTTCCTGAACGTTGATGGAAATTTGTTTATTTTTGCTAATAATCGAGCTATATTATTCAATTATTTCAAAGGTGTTGTTGTAAAGACTTACCCGGCAATCCCTGGCGGCGATCCTCGGAGTTATCCGAGCACTGGGTCTTCAGTTCTCCTTCCATTGAAGGACTTACAGGGAACTCAAATTGAAGCTGAAGTTTTGGTCTGTGGTGGTGCACCCAAAGGATCGTACAGCAGCGCGATAAATGGCAAGTTTGTCGGGGCTTTGAATACGTGTGGGCGGATCAAAATAACCGACCCGAATCCTCAGTGGGTTGTGGAGAAAATGCCACTGGCTCGGGTCATGGGTGACATGCTTTTACTACCAAACGGCAACGTATTGATCATTAACGGTGCCGCGTCAGGCACTGCTGGATGGGAAAATGGTCGGGACCCGGTTCTTAAACCAATAATTTACCTACCCGTCAGTCCAATTGGGTCTCGATTCGAAGTACAAAATCCGACCACCGTACCCCGTATGTACCATTCTACGGCAATTCTGCTGCGCGATGGTAGGGTTCTTATTGGCGGTAGCAATCCTCATGAATTGTACAAGTTCACCGGTGTCCTTTTTCCGACGGAATTACGTTTGGAGGCATTCTCTCCATCGTATTTGGACTCAGGGTCTGCAATTTTGCGTCCAAAAATTGTTTCGCCCGTTCCTCAAGTTAAGCTCGGGTATGGGAAAAAGCTAACGGTTCAGTTCACAGTCACGGGTGTACTAAATGGGAATTTGGTCTCGATTACAATGGTTGCACCATCATTTAACACACACTCATTCTCAATGAATCAGAGATTGTTGGTGCTTGGTGGAGGGAACGTGGTAAAAGTAGGAAAATCCACATATGAAGTGACAGTGATGACACCGGGTTCGGGAAATCTTGCACCTTCCGGATATTACCTTCTATTCGTGGTTCATCAAGAAATTCCTAGTGAAGGTATATGGATTCATATACAGTAATTTATATATATACATCATGGTTTATCGTATCAGTCACGGTCGCGATATAACGAATTAAGACAAAGTCAGTATAAACTGGCCGATTTGAATTGCGTATCAAACTTGAAGAAGAGTTGTGTATGACTTATATACACAAATCATTCCCATTTCAAATTTATCTCATGTATTTATCTTTTTCTTAGTCCAAAAGTGTGAATACAAATTTAAGAAAAAGTTGTATTTAGAAGGTTAGGTGAATTCTTAAGGTTGTAAGGTTTGAATAATTTGCAGAGATGATGCTATCATTGTAAGTGGAGGCATGAAAGCTTGATGCTTCTGATGACCAAAAGTTTGAAGATTTTTTTTTTTTTTTTTTTTTGTAATTTTCGTTGTTTCAAATTCGTGTTGTATTATTAAAGTCGTATATCTTCGTTTCTGTGTGTTGCTGTGCTTATATCTCATAGAGGTTGGATCCTCTGCCACTGATTGCCAGTGTGAGCCCTGTTGTGTCTCTTAGGCCTACTCATCTTATGGAAGTTGAATTATTCAAGAAAGTCTGTTTGGAAATATATATTTAAGAGCAATGCTAATTTAACCATTGAAACAAACAGTATATTTTTTATTTTTTATATTTGTGAAAAATCAAATTAATTATTTAATGTATCTAAATTTTAAAATAGGAAAGTTCATGACTGAGAAGGATTTCTAAGAAGCATTATTATATATTCAATTTGGACGGAATATTTTTTTTTGGACTTACACCTACAATGTGTTCAATTCTTTAGGTAAATAACACTTGCTTAAAAAAAAAAAAAAAGACCATTAGTTGGTTATTATCATAAACGACTTATTGGCATTAATACATGAAAGATGTACTGTAATAATAATAATAATAATAATAATAAAAGCAGAAAAAACAAGTGAGGTTATATGAATTGGTGCTTGATTTATGGTGGATTGGTGATACCAATTCTCATGAATTCTATAATTTAATCAGAGTCCTGTTTTTTTTACTTACGGAATTAAGTTTGGAGACATCCTTATAGAGTAATATATATATAATGATCATTTCCATTTCAATTTAATCTGGGTTTTATTTCCATGTGTTATATCGTATCAAAATGAAAAATATCACATCACAATGTCAAAATGATAAAAAAATTTGTGGTCAATTGCTCATGGTCTAGAAATAAAGCACATGTAGTAATCTCATTACAATTGCTTAAAATCTAATCAAGAAACATTGAAATGTTTCTCATTCTCTCTCCATCATTGAACTTTAATGCCCTGAACAAAAAGCACCTTTCCATGTTAAAGCAGATTATCAAGTATAGGTCATATTAGTTCACTCTTCTACATGAAATAACTAATTAACGGACGCCATAAAAAAGTATAGTGACATGATCAATCCAAGTCTTAACTTCTTTCACTAAAATGCATTGTCAAATGAAACTAATGAGACTAATCTATTGTGCAGAGCGGAAGTTCTTATACTAATTTGTTGGGCAGCAACGAAAATTTCTGACACCAATTTGTTATGCGGAAGTGACCTAAACAAATATACACACAATAATGACAAATCCTAATAACAACAAGATATGAATAAAGATAAAAAAACACACACACCACGAAACAAGATTTATACGTGGTTCACCCTCATAAATAGGGTTATATCTATAAGCGATGATGATCAGTATCACTATATAGAAGAAGATTACAAATTGAAGAATGTTTTGGTTCTTCCAGACAATAATCACTCTTCTCACAACAAAACGTCACCCATTAAACGAAGAAAAGCTCACCGAACGCTCAAAAAAAAAATCCCCAATAATTATATGATTTACATAAAGAAGAAAATCCACCCAAAGACAAACTTCAAATATCTATCTTGAAGATTGTACACACAAAATGATTTCTTCACACAAAAAACTAATATAACTTATTCTGACTCTACCTTCTTGATCAGAATATCTTTCTCGGATCTCTGAAGGATCTTACCGAGATCTATCTGGGATCACCATATGATCTCCCCATAGAATCATATTGGATACCTTACTTGTCGCTGGCACAAAGCAATTCGTTCCTTATCAATTACTTTCCTTAAATTTTGTTTATTGCCTTATCAAACCCTTAGCTTGCGCATTAAGCCATCCATACGGCCATATAATTGACCACCAAAATTATATCATTCAAACAATGAAATTATGCCAAAATCCCAACATTTTTCACGTGGCAAGAGATTGGTGGTTGTAACGGTTGGACGCTTGTCCATTTATCAAAAAATTCTGAGTGGGCATATCCACTAATTCGTATACACTTTAACCCCCATTCAAATCCGATGTGGGACAACTCCCACTTGTAACATTCTCCCCTACCTGAATCCGCGCAACGCCCTCGTTATGGTCAGGCCACTTTGCCTACCCAGGGCCAGACCTAGACGCCCTCCTGGTCGGGCGCTTGGGGTGGCACCGGATTAGGGACTAGGTTTAACTCTAATACCAACTGTAACGAGTAGGCGCTTACTCATTTACCAAAAAACTCAAGTTATTGGGTAGTGTTGTATACCCACCTATTTGTACACATTTCAACCCCCATCCAAATTTGACATGGGACAAGTTTCACATGTAACAGTGGACCACTTGATTAAATGCATAGTACTTCTTTATACACCAAAGCTCCGTTTGGATTGATGGAATCGGTAGGAAAAGAAAAGAAAAGAATAGAATAGAATGAGAGGATTAGTGATTTTCATCTGGTGTTCTCATACCAATACCAAAAGATTTTCATTTACAGCCTTGTAAATGTATATGTATATGAATATATCACAAGCTTAATTGCAAAGTAAAGAATGACAGCATGCATTTTTTTATACCAGGACCACAAGACACATGTCACAGGAGTTCTCAACATCTATATATTGACCAAAATGCCCTCACAGAGATATTATTAATTAAAAGAGATTTTAGCAGCTGAACCTGTGAACACTTAGTATTCTTGTGAAATTAAGCAATTGAACACAATGTACCATCATACACAAATGTATTATGATATAATACATGTGTGAAAAGTCCTAATTACCCTTAAGAAGCTCTGTATCAAAATATCATTGTTTGTGTTAGGGTTTTCAACCCTAAAATGCTTGCAAAATAGTCTTCAAAGATAATGTACCTTCCAAATATCATTTGGAAAGCCTTCTCAACACTGTGAAATGACCAAGCTACCCTTGTAAGTCAATTGAATGCATTATTCAAACCAGAAGTACTTGTAACTCAATGTAGAGAACATGTGATGGACTTTTTGACATTTAAAAGGGCAAACCCTAATTCAAATGTAGGACTAACAAATTAATAGCCATAATACTCCAACCCATTGCAATGCAATTAAAATAATAATAAATGCAATAAACAAATACACATAAGCAATGCAATTAAAATAAATATATACCATTAAACAAATACACAAAATAATTTAAAAAAATTAATTAATTCAGCCAATTAATTTAAATAAACTCCATTTAATAATTCCTCTAAAAATACAGGGTATTACATCTAACTTTTTGTTTCTTGAAAATGTTTTCTGGAATGCATTTAAGCCTAGTTACAGTCGGTTGGCTTTCGTGTGTATTTTTTGGCCAGTTCACTGACATTACTGTAAATACATTTTCTTTGCTTCCTTGATGCTCTATTCAATTCCTATCATTTGTAGATCATGTTTAAATGATATATTTGCATTTTATGATCTTTCATTTGTTTCAAGGATCAATTATGAATGTATGTTAATGCATGATCCTAAATGAGCTTCAAATATATTCAAAGATACTTTACAATTGAATTCTAAATACTCACCATTTTATACCCTTATATAAGCATTGGCATGATCATTTTAGCTCTGAGATATTCTTGTTTCCTTCTTTGAGTTGCTTGGTTATGCAGTCTATGCTTTCTTAATTTGGGTGGACTTTGTAAGATTATTTATTAATTGTTTGGCCCACATGATTTGAACATGTGATTTATTATATTAATTAGTGGTTAAGTAAATAGATATCAAATTAATATTATATTATTTAGTCAACTTATAAATTACCTTTTTGGTAATTAATTAATGGAGAAGTATTTTCTTATTTATTCTTTTCTTTGATGAAAAGTGGAATTAAGGTTACTAAAAGTAAAATTGGTCTTCTCTCTGCCTTTATAAAAGTGCATATATCCCATCAATTATGTACGCTAATGAAAACAGCACGTATAATATTTATGTGCGTAAAAGGCCAAGAGAGATAAATCAGTTTCCACACGCTTTGTTATTGTTTGTACTTGCAGTTTATAATGTTGTTCATTCCACAGAAAGGATCTCGGTGTTTGGCTTGATCTCTATGAGATTTGGAATTATAGATCGAGATATTTATATCTAACTATATTTATTTATGCATTATAAGAATGTGAGAATAATGAAGTTCTAAGATTTTAGGATTTATGTTTATTTGTGACGAATAGTTTACACGAATAATTATAGTTTACATTTGGTGTCAGAGCTTATGGTTTAGGAACTCATGATATTCCTCTAAAGTTGCATAAATAAAAATAAAAAAATTAAATGATTATATAATCCATTATTTTGAAATCATGGATATGTTTTGATAGGAATAGTGATTATGATTGTATAATGTCCGATTAATCTCCCGGGCATGTTTTGATTAGTTTGTTTACCAAAGAATTTATTTTGGTTTGCTACCTTGATTTCCGCCCTTGTATATTTGACCTGAAAATTACTAAATACATGTAAGCACATATATATATAACTTTGTTAGTTTGCATGATTAAATTGATGTTTTTTGAAACATCACTTCTTTAGCATGCATATTTTACACCCAAAAGTTTTCTTGAGCTACTTGTGTGGTGGATATAAATATATATATATATATATATATATATATATATATATATATATATGTTTGTTTTTTTATATACAGTGATAATTGATGAATGAGAAGTATGTCACTGTACATGAGTATTTTAAATAGATTATTAAATACATAATGTACGTGTATTTATTTATTTTATTGAAAATTTGAATTTCTAGAATAATATGTGAGTCTAGAAATTTAATTTAATTTTCATTAAACATAATAAATAATTATTTTATACCCATACATGAGAATCAATTTTAAATTGATTCCAATTATGGCATCCAAGTCCGAAAATAAAATAATATGTTTTATTTTGTATATAAGGTAAAAAGATATTTTTATTAAATTTTCAGATTATTAAGTTCCTGGGATCGAACCTTCTTATACTTGGATTGGTCACTATGAGTATGTGTGTATAATGTTAAATGGAAAACTTAATGATGAAT